TCCCATGTGGACAGACAAAGCTCCTCAGGGAAGAAAACACCTCTTCCCCTAAAAATATCTCACACTGCGGGGAGCTAGAACGGACAGAGCCAGCGGAGGGCACATGGTGTTCTGCAGGCAGGGGAAATGCTGTCTGAGGTTGGCACAGAGGTGCCTGGAGCCCCCCTCATCCTGCTTTCCCTGAGCCCGTCCCACCCTGCCCCGGAGACACTTCCCAGCCTGAGCAAAAGCCCTGACAGCGCAGAATTCACTGCGCAAGCACGTCATGTCCCCTGCAGGCTATTTGCAAAAGCTGGAGTTTTAAAATGTTAAAAAAAAAATAAATAAATTAAAGGAAATAGCAATGTTTTTAGAGCAGGCTGATTTCAAAGGGGTTAAACTAACGACAGGATTTAACTCAGTGTAGGAAGGGCTGAGCTAAATCCGCCGGATGCATGCAAATCCCACCGAGCAGCCACCGCTGCCCCGATCCCGTGAACCCATTCCCACCTGGGGCACTCAGGCCAAGGGTGCAGCCCCCCGACACGGCACGACACGACACGACACGGCACGACACGACACGGCACGGCTCGGCACGGCACGGCTGTAGGCCACCTGACCCCACGCAGAGGAAGGAGAGCGGCCAAGCAATTTGCTGCCGCTTGCAACCCGGCCACCCTTTGCACTTGTGCTCACGGAAAATTTCTCCCCGTTGCAACCCGCCAATGTTCCCCTTGCCGCGGTGCAGCCGGCGGAGGTGGCCGCCCTGCACTGAGCCTGGGAATAGGAATATGCGGGAAAAATGGAGCTGAGCTGTTCCTGGTGGTGCCGGGCATCGGGGTGAGGGGCAGCAGGCATAAGCTGCAGCTGGGGAGAAATCTAGTTAGATATTAGGAGATAGCTTTTAACTGTGAGGGTGATCAAGCACGGGGCACGGAGAGCTTCTTGTCTCCAGGATAACCCCAGAGAAACTCAAAATGCAACAGCAGAAGCACTGAGCCACCTGACAGAACTGTGAGGTTGGGTTTAAATTTGAGATGCAACCTGCTTAAAGCAGGCTTTGGGTGAGAAACCTCCAGAGGTCCCTTCCAAGCAAAATCAGTCTGGAATTCAACTATGCAAAGCCATGTGTTCAGCCTGTGAGGTTCGGATGTCGTAACAGCCCTGTCCCAGTGATGGGGAAACTGAGGCACGGGAGGGAGAGGGGACATGTGCGGGGCTGTGCAAAAAACCTAAGCTATCCAGTGGAGGGAAGGGATGTGCATGCTTTTCCTTACTTTTTAGTTTAATAAATGGAGTTTTTTGGAGGGCAAGGTGAGCACAGGACTGGTGGCTGCGCAGACCCAGGGCGCAGCATGTACTGCGGGAGCCTGTGTGGGGACTTCAGCCCGGGAAGGCAAGGTGCAGAGGTACAAAGGATGGCTGATAACAGCCAGCCGTGAGTCAGAAAGCCCACGTCTGCAGTAAGGGACACATCACCGTGCCAAAGCGTTGGAGTCCGACCCAACACGCGTTGCCTCTCTAACTCTGGCAAGGAACTGTAGCCATGAGAAGTCTTCGGTAGAGAGTGGTCCAGTCCTTGCCCTCAGTGCCAGCGTGGAAATGTGCTTTTCTACACCCAACATCCAAAAAGGACTGTTACTGCAAGCTCTGCGAGCTCCTCAGCAGGAGGTAGAAGCTAAATTTTGGGCTCTGGGCAGCATTGCCTGTGATGGTGTTGCTCAAGGTCGAATGGGGTGGCTGTAGCAGAGTGGGAAGCAAACAGCAGCCTTTTAATAAGATACCTGAGCTTACCCCCGTGGGCCAGAGCGGTGTTAATAGTCTTCATTTTCCGACCACCTCTAGGAAATCAGCTAGAAAGGGATCTAATTATCTATAATTATATCAATTATATCACCCAACCAGCCTGCATCTCCGCAGATCTCTGTGCCAAACGTTTCTCATCACGTTGCAAAGCTGAAGCCTGAGCCACCCAAAACTCCTGTGGCCCCAGGGTCCTCCCCGTACCCGCAGCCACTGGATCCTCATGGCACATTGGTGTGGAGTGGGGTGATGACCCTGTTTTGGGGGATCCGTCCCCATCCCAGCTGCGCAGCCAGGGGGTGCTGGAAAAAACAGGTAGCAGGGCAGGACCTTGCTCTTCAGGGATGGCTCAGGTGGTGAAACCTCCCCAGGGCCATCCCTGGAGTCACCAAAAGCTTCCAGGGTCACCTAGCCAGCTCAGGTGAGTGGATGATGTCCCCAAAATGGAGCTAAGGCTCCATTTCGGGGACATCGTCCGCTCGCCTGAGCCGCAACGTGCAGGGCAAATCCCTCCATGGCAAAGTGGTGTAAAAAGATGATGTTCTCAGTCCCATATGTTTTTAATGCCCCATGTATTTTTGGAGGGTAAATGATCCTTTAATACCCAATCAGGTGAGTTTTTAGTGCCTTCCTCCTTTACCAGCTCTGAAAGGGGTTTTTTTCCTCATCATGTTCCAGTGGCAGCTGACACAAAAACCCATCAAGCAACATCTCTGAACAAAACAGTGAAATACTAGAAATAAAGCAAATACTAAAAGCTGCAGGATACGTGATTTGCCTCCTCTCCTCTCCCCTCTCCCACAACAGTGTGCAGAGGTAAACTCAGGATTTTCCTTCCTTGCAGCAGCCTCTGCCCATGCAGAGGCAGAGCACGCTTTTGAGCCTAGCTCAAATTTAGGCTAGAATGAGGGAAAGATCAAATCCCTGTGGAAAGCTGCACAAGCTAATAGCTTTTATTACCACTGTAATAATTTAATATCACCAGCGTGCATCTGAGCATCCCCTGTTCACCCAGCACACCCTGATGGGACCTCACCTCCTCCCACCACCGTGGGACTTTATGCCTCCAGGCATTTACTTACCATAAATCTAACTCTTTCAATGTGTGCATTAGCTGTATGAGATAACTTCCCTGATTCATCTCATTTACTTATTTTTTTCAGGTGAAGAGCTTACAATGAATTCCGCGATCCCTTCGGCGTTACATCCCTCTGGGGTGCATGCAGGAACCCTGCAAAAAAAAAAAAAAAGGGTTATACCAGGATACCTGCTGCTCTGTGCTCTCAGACAGAAATAGCAGCAAGGCTTTTGCCACAGCTTTAGCTATGCCCTGGGCCTATCAGCAGCGATAGCTCTCGTTAATGAGGTCGTCAATTAATGCTGTGATGGCAGGGACTGCTCATGTGGCAGCCACTGGTGAGCACAGAGCACAGGGGAAGGACCAGGGACACGCTGGGATGATCGTGCCATTTACTGGGGAGGGCTTTGCCCACACTCAGCCCTGCAAGCTCCATGCATTCATGGTTAAAGTGCCATTTCTCTAATATTATTTTGGATTTTAAAAGAAAGGAGAGGAAGAGCATGCCTGCGCTGCTGCACGCCAGCCCACCCGGGCTTACCCACTGCAGCAACAGACCAAGAGCTGGAAAACGGAACAGCTTTTCATTAACCTGCTCTTACCCGGTGCTTCCGTAT